TATTAGGTTTTGAAGTTTATTTTTATCTTGGGTTTGAAATGGGAGTGTTATAGAGAAAGAAATGAAGAGACGCGTTACGACGTACGACTTCTTAGCAACGAAGTTTTCCTCGGTTGGAAAAACCGACCTCAAGGGAAGAAAAAGAGAAAATGGGGTCCGAAATAATTAAAAAAAACTAAAAGGACCGCTATTGAAAATCGCGCGCCAGGATCAATTATCGTTTAGATCAAATTTCAATCGTTGTTGAAAATTATGGTAATTTGATTAATCAAAATGGGTAACGTATCCAAATACGCTTATTCCACTTAAATGTTTTGAACTTTTTTTCTTTATTAACTTAGAAAATCTACTCTCTTTTTCTATTTCTTTTCTAACAAATATTAAAATATGCCACTTTACAAAAATGTTATTTTTTGCAATTTTTACAAAAATGCCACTCTTTTTCCCAAATATTCCCAAATTACCCTAACTTATTTAACTTAATTTTTTCCAGATCTGAAATTTTTTCTATTTCTCATTGTCTTCGATTTCGTCGTTGTTGAAGAAGAAAAAGAAGAACATTATAAATTATTATTTCAATTGTTCAGGTTTTTAAGACAGATACAAAACTCTTATTTACTGTTTAAAAAATTATAAACATTTTAAACAGTCTAGCAAAATCTTTAAAAAAAATTTATAAACCTTTAAAAAACTTTATAAATTTTATAAACCTTTTAAAAACTGTGAAAAAAACTTTATAAAAAACGTCAAAACCCTAGATACTCATAAGAACACCAAAAACAAAACTAACCATATTGAAATCAAATCCAAATTGACAGACTGAAATCAATTAGAAAATCAACCCATATTTGTTATCAAAATCAAGAACAAAATAAAGCAAAACGAAGACAACTCAGATTTTTAGATTTAGATCCTAATTGAAATCCACACAAATCAAATTAGAAATTCATATATGTAATCCAAATCGAATAAATCTCAGATTTGTAACACAAGTCAAATCAAAAACTCAGATCTGTAAGAAAATAAACCAAATAAAACCATATTTGCGAAAAATCAAAATCAGATCTATAACAAAAAAAACTCATAAAATCTGATCTAGATCTAGATCTCC